GGAGAGGTCCTGCGTGCACTGCCCGAGGCTGTACACCCTAAATGAAATCAGATTCGCCATAAAAGTTTTTTTTTCCGTCGCAAACTTGTAGCTGGCGTTGGCTGCCTTGGGGACCAAGTTGTCCAAAGTTGTAATCAGCTCATCGTCAAGATCAGCTGGTTCCGTCACATACTGTGTCAAATTCCGCTCGCTCCAGGTTTCCAGCTCCGGCGACGTGGCAGCCTCAGAATAGAAGGGTTGGTTTGAGTAGCGTAGCGTGCAGTTGTCGTACCAAACCACAGCCTGTTGGTTGTCGGGACAGCGTAGGAGCGCCTCCGAGGTTGCGTTGGCCACGCATTCTTCGCAGACACGGGCAGACACATCACCACGGCAGAGGAAGAGGCCGTAGGCTGTGCCAACCGTGGCGTTATAGAAGCCCGCGGTGTTGTTGCGGTTGGCGTTGGAGGAAAGGGTTGAGAGGAGTTGGTTGAGATTGGATTTAAAGGTGGAGGTGGAGTTGCCAGCCAAAGTTGAGCAGTTATGGCCGGTGTATGCAGCTTCAGTGGGGAAGCTAACAATGAGCATGGAGGAGAGAAAGTAGAAAAGGATCATTTTTTTTATTAATCGGATATTTTGCATGGAAACTAAACATGGAGCATGCTTCAGTTTCTATATAAACATAACACAATCCCAATACACACAGCTTGACTTGAGTCTAAACAAGAACTAGGTCGTTGGCAGTTCGGCAGTTCTCTAAGAATTTTTGGTTCTACTTCTAGAATCAACGACCAGAAAGACTTGGCAATAAAATTATTATAATGATCACATCAATATTATTATGAATACGAATGTATGTCTATCAATACAATTTCTTCATCAAAATCGGATGATGAGGATATTGGCCCTAAAGTGCGCTACTCACTTCAATGTTTCCGTGTGTTTTTTATTTTTGGGTATATAGTTAGAGAGAGAGGGTTTTTCACACACAATCTCACGATGTTCGAACCTGAGACCACTAGTATGCAAGACCCTTTAGTTAAAAACTTTGTACCCAAAACATAAGTTGCCTTTTTTAAAATTAAAAAAAAATGGTTTAAATACTAACCAAACTCCTAAAAATTTAGACTATGTAGATATTAGTTTTTTAGACTGCCAATTTGATCTTGAGTCCTCAGCACCATGTGCCGCCACATGTCAACTGGCTAGAATTTTGTATAGCCTAGTTATTTTAAACCTAGTAGTTAATTGCTTACATTTTTTTAACATCATGTAGACATCCGCATTAGAGAAAGACTATATATATATATATAT